AAAACAATGTCTATGAAGCTTGACAACAGAGCCGCGAAGGGCTTAAACCATATCTGGGTATACCGTGCATGATGCCCTTGTAGTAATGCGCCGTACAGAAGAAGAAGAAGAAGAAGAAGTGAAGCGCCAAAAGTCTAAAACGAAACCTAAAATGGAACTCCACCTGGCCTTCAGCCGTACAAGGACCGATAATCGCTAACGAACTGAACACGTTGAACCTCAGGCCGTGAAAAGGAAATCATGACTCTAGAAAGATTACAAGATTGTAAAGGGGAGTCGTAGCACCGTGAAGTCGGTACCACCACGTGTTGAATGCCAAGCTCCATGTCGCAGGATAGCCGGGCGCCATCATTTCGCTTTGCCGAACGCCGAATGTAAAACACTTTTAGTTACCGACCCGTTCGGAAACACGGCCGCGCTCAATCTGCTCCACGCGACCTTTGGAGTCGGTGCGCTTCATGCGAGATCGAGCCAACGCAGCTGCGGCTTCCTCGTGTTCCCTAGCCAAACGTCTGAGGGCGATTTTGGCTTCTTCAAGAGGTATGCTGTCGCTGCGCTTGGGGCTGCTCTGTCTTGAAGGGCGTTGGCTAGTCGGGTTTGATGTAGGAGTCGGAGGCTGGTAGCGGAAGCTGTTGGCCCTTGTGCTAGCAACGCTGAAGCCGTTCTTGGTGCTACCAGGACGGCTAGTGCGATACTCAGTGCTTACTGACTCTTGGCTGCGGTTGTCGGCATCGCGAGCGGGAGAGTTCTTTCGGGACCGAACGTAGTTGGGATCGTCGCGCTTGATCATGTGACGGAATTGCTGTGTTTGCTGATCGAAGACCCAACGTTGATAGCCCGCGGCGCCATTTGCGTTCCCAGGAATGAAGGTATCGTGTTCGTCCCAGCACTTGACCCAAGCCACGTCGTCAACCCGGAAGAAGCCTGCTTGTACTTCTTTACCTTTGTCGTTCTTGATCATGACAGTCTTCTTGCGCTTGTTGAACTCAGGTTCCAAGAAATAACGACCGATAGCATGGGAGTACTTCAGAGGAACAGGACGGTCGAGGGGGATGTACACTCTGCCGGTTGATGACTTGATGTATGAACTGGGGTGGCCTTCTGGCTTGGAATCGTCCTTGAGAGTTGCGATCAGGAACCAGCCTCGTCCGGGGATACTCTCGTACTGGCCGGGTACTGGGCTGGTCCACTCTTCAACGACCTTGGATGACTGCTCTGCCTTGTTCGACTTGAACCACTTGTGGGGCGCAAAGGCCTTTTGAGTGGCTATGAAGAGGTTGGGCGCCATGTCAATGGTTTTCGAACAACGTTTGATAAAACTCCTTTGGTCACTGTCGGTGATGTCCTCCGGGGACAGTCGGCAGTGGTGGTGGGTCTGAGATTCCGGGGGTGGCAAGTACTCCGGAAAGTTCTTGAAGCAAAGTCTGCCGTCGGGCAAAGCACGTGGTCGTGATCGCCAGTGGTAACGTTGGATGCTGCGAGGTTCCGCTTGAACAGAGGCGAGTTGGTAGACGAGGTATGGAAATCCGGTACTTCAGGAGTGTGTTGTGAAAGTGACTAGCCGAAGACCGCCGGTCACTGCGTGCAGGTGCACGACTGTGTCGCTATGAGGAGCGAGGCAAGCCTTCGACGAGCGTGGTTCACTGAGTGCGCGTGAAAGGAGGAATCTCGAAACAAAGACGCTGGGGTGTCGAAATATTTAAAAGACGGGAGCTAATTTAGTGCTGGGTCTGAAAATCTTTCCCAGGCTGACGGAAGGAAATTGGGATGCGCTTCGACCTACCGTGGGTACAAGTGTGGACCATGTACCGGGGAGCAATAGTCAGACATCTAAGGCCAATGCCAACGTGAGCACCGAATCCTCGCACGCCGCCCCCGAGCGTATCGGACCCTCAGTAAAACGGGCCTCATCAGAAATTCGTCATGACACACTGCCTCAATCAGCTCTTCTCAGCGGTACACGTTCCCGGTTCTTTCCTGCCGCGCGCCCACGGATCCGCTGATTGTCGTGGTGGCATGCCAGGCTCCGCATTCGTGCCTCCCTCGCAGCAACCCACATGCGTTGATAGAGTGCCGCCCTGGGCCAATCACCTGGGGTGCCAGCCACGCGTGGACAGATAATGCCAGATAACGCGACGCAGCCAGGTCGATTGTCCAGCAGTCGCCTGGGAGTGTGAAATTGCAAGGGCAGGCACAGACTGAGGGCAGCTTCAGAGCGGTGTGATGCTGGGTTGAGGTGTGCGGATGCGAAAGGGACTGAGTGGACCGACAGGCGTTGCTAGATCGTGCGCGGAACTTCCGTAAGCGCAGCCGGTAGCGAGGCGCTCAACATGTCCGCCGTCGATGGAACCAGCACCAGCACCAGGAACCATGACAAAACAACGGACTCGCAGCCCCGGGTCGCCTGAAGCAACAAAGAGCTCTCTTCTAAGCAGCTTGCATGTTTCGACAATCTGATGCGTGCGTCAAAGCAGAGTAAGCGCCAGCCTGCGCAATTCAACCTTCCTCAGATCGCCTTCCCCGTACTTGCAACATTCGCTCCGATTCTCCAACGTCGTGAAACATTCCATCTCCACACCCATGCCAGACAAGCAAATAGACAGCCAAAACCCTGCGTACGACGCCCTCTGCCACGCGACAAATACCGGCCTTCCTTTGAGCCCACGCGGCGCCTCACTTGCTTCTACGCGGCTGCACCCAGCGTACGTGCGACGGCGCCAAGAAGCAACCATGGCTCTTGCGCTGCCCCTTTGTGACTCGTACGGCTGGTCATACGGCTTTACTATCAGACTCCTTATCAATGTGCGTCGAGTTCACTCATCAATCTGATGGCGGTGAGTAGGTTGAGGAGTGGACATGGCTTGCGGCTGCGCATCTTCCGAGCAGGCGACGCGCTGAGTTGGTGTGCGCATCCGGAAACATGCCCGTCAGCCATGTTGATGCTTAGGCAGCTCAAGCAATTGACCAAAATAACCGGTAGTATTTCATCCAACAGGCATCTGCATAGTGCTAGCATGCAGGTTCGATGTTGTTTGTCGATGACATGGAAGCGAAATCGACATCAAGGTATACTCGTCGTTGGTCGAAGGCTTCTGCGATAAAAGTCTAGCTGAAAATTGCAACCCATTGCAACATCGTGGATGCAGTACCATTAGCTGAAAGGAGAACAGCTCGCAAGAGTGAGCAACAACCGGCGCGGCATATTTTACCGCAAAATTTAGTCGTGATCTCGATAGCCATGACCTGATATGTGGCATGTGAAGAAGATCAGCCTGATTGATGCGCATTCGATGCTTGGCGCAGAGTACATGCAGCACCCAAGGCACTCTACGGACGATACCGCAACACACACATTTGTTCTGCGCGGCCGGCAGTTGGGGTTGCGATATCGAAGCGGCTCTGCAGTTAGTCTAAGATCAAAAAGCATCACATCCTACGTCATCGAGGAGATCCTGATTTGGCTCGTTTTTTCATTGCATTCCTACTGCTCCTGTCCCTTGATATCTTTGGTCATTCCGCAGTAACATGTCGCAATGCTTTTTGAAGTGCATGCCTCTCCCCATACCGTATCGAAGGGTACCGTGAGCCGGAGAGGATGAAAAGCCTTCCCATTGAGATCGTAACTAATCAGAGAGACGCCTTGTATGCCCCGCCCCAAAGTGAAAATCCGCACCCATCTACGACTCGGTCTTGACGCGGGCCTTGCCGTTGGTAACCTTGACACCGATCTGCTTCGCCCTGGCGATGATTTCGATGCGCTTTCGTGCTGATACAGCGTGGGCGATCCTGAAGGATTCGTTAGTATGTTGGATGGTGGAACAGAAGCTGGCGAACGTACTCTGCGGCGAAGGTCTGGTTGTGCATGAGGAGGAGGTCAACATCGGCGACTGCATCCGTTAGCGGAATCCTGGGGTGGTGTCGTACTCGATAGGTAGCATACCGTTGTTGACGACGAAGGCCTTGTGGCCGCTGGGCATCATGTGGCGGGTCTTCCTGTTGGAGCCGTATCCGATCTGTGAGGCGTTCCGTCAGCCCTGGTCCATCAAGCATTCCGTGTCCGCTCAGTGTCCTCTCGGTGACAAGATTCTTCCTCCGTCCGGGTAGTTGGTAGTCCGTACCTTGGGCATAGCAGCCTGGCCCTTGAACCGCCTGCGGACGCGGTTGTCGATACCCTTAGGCTTGCGCCATGAGGGGTCGACGCCTGTCCAGTGTCAGATGCCAATTCCTTCACTCCCAGCTCCGGTGTCTCTTACACATAAAGCGGTCCGACTGGTGGCGGTTGAAGCGCTTGCGGTCTGTAAACGGATACGTCAGTCGCGAGTTTTCGAGGTCATGGAGGCAGATTCGGCGTACGCTTCTTGACGATCGGGACATGCTTCTTAGCGGCGACCATCTGGGCTATCGTCAGTACAGTAACAGCAGTCCACCTCGGTATACGCACTTTGACTGCTGTGTGGTTAGTTGTCGATGTGGTGTCGTCAAAAGTTGGCGTTGATGGATTTTGCGAAGGCGCCGCAGCTCAGTGGACACGCTAGTGGCACCTCGCTTACGCTGGCCCTAGCCACACCAAGAGCGCAGCGACCACCACCAACCTTCCTCGCCGAACAACAACGGACGACAAACAATGGTCATGTCGGCAGCAATGCAAACATCTTTGGACCCGACTCAACGACCTGCGCGCGTCTCATAACAGCGGCATCTTGTTTCTTCGCCTGCTTTGCGCTGCTGTCGACGGTCACTTGCTCCACTGTGTAATCACCCAGCACAAACGAAACAAAATAGATGGTGCACGGTGATGTATCATGCTGAGCTAGTCTATTTACTAGAAGATGCTCAAAGTGCTGTAAATCTGGCCATGGTATGGAATGCTCCCGTGAATCTCGTAACATGCATCAAGTAAACCCGCCTTCTGATGAGCAAAACGCCGGCAGCTGCTATAGCAGCAAAGCATGTCCTCTACCATAACTCCCCGCTAGTTTCATAGACCGTCTTGACCCAGATCAATAGTAGTCTTCGTCCATCGGCTGCTCTCCCGTGTCACCCCGCTTCTCCTTCTTGACGAACTCGACAAAGTCGTCAATGACAGACGGCCATGAAGACTCCTCGTTCCAGAAGCCCATGGTCTCATCTTCCAGCGAGAGCTGCGCGAACTTGAGTGTCTCGTTCCACATGTCCTTGTTGACGCTCTTCTTCCACGACGTATTGAGGAACTCAGTCCACCAAGTAAGCCACGGAGTGTTGGGACTTGACCACTGAACAGCAGACAAGGGCGAACTGAAGAGCAACTCCCAGTACACGGTGGCCATCTCGAGTGGAACAGCCCTCTGGTCCGCAGTCTTGGCGATGGTGAATGTGTACTTGTACACCCGGGTGAAGACGTCTTTGTTGCCCGAGAGCTCGCTCTTGAGAATCCTGAGATACGACTTCTGCTTGTCGATGGTATCACAGCTGCATTTGCATTAGGTTCTAAACGACCTCGAAGACAACCTGAAAAATAGTGGCACTTACTGGCGCTCCAACCAACCCTTGACGAAGCCATCGCGGCTCATCTCGCCCATGGTAGGGGCCTGGACGATTTCAAGAGCCGCCAACGCATCCAGGCCCTCGGCATTGACGCCAGTATGATCGAAATACTGCATCGTGCCTTCTACTCCGACGATGTCTTTGTCTGGTGCACCAGCCTCTTGGTACCGATCGAACAGCTTGTTGAGATTGGTCTTCATCGCAGATGAGCCTTGGGAACCGCCGCTGTTGCTGCTGCTGTAGTAACTGCGTGACTTGTCAGTCTTTGTCAATGTATTTGATGAGTTGCCAGTTGGCCGTTGCAACGAAAAGCTCGTCGTGAGTGACTTGTAGTCCAGGCATATCGTAAAGGTACACGTGATACTGATAATTCTTCAGTGATATGGGAGGATTGAGCTGCACAAACAGTTTCGCAGTAACGAACAGATGCACTGTGTCGATAGGTGACGACGTGGCATCGCTCAGCACGGGCACTTCATCAGCCCCTGCCACCAATTTTATTCTTTCGATGATGATGCGGCAGAATTTGGTCCTGCCATCACGTCCCAGACCATGGAAGAAGGCCAGACGCGCCAACTTCCATTTTTCGAAAGCGGGAGCTGGGATCGTTTTGTGGTTGATCAACGGGAGGAGGCTGAAGAGCTTGGCGAACACACTCCGATTCGCAAGTGATAGTGAATGGATAAACGTGTTGTAGTTTACGCCTACGGTTATGGGCAAATGCTCAATGGCCTGTGCGATTGTCGGCCATATTTGGGTGATCCCGATGGACTCGAACCAAAGAGTCTCTTGTTTGCAGGAGTCCACATAGGAAGCATAGTCCATGGGAGCCATACATTTCAAGTAATGGCTCCCGAGAGCCCAGAGCGCAGCTTGTCCTGGGGTGTCTGAAGCTTGGGGACTGCGTCTTCCTGAGATGTCATGCTCGCTGTAGTCGTTGCCGTAGCCCCCAGAGCCGATGTAGTTGCCAGAACCACCGCGCAACGACACAGTCGGCTCTGAACCTAGGTGATGATCAGAGACGGAGGTGCGAAGTGAAGGCACTGTGGTAGTGTGCAAGAGCGCCAGCAGCTCCTCGAGTATAGTTTCCGGCAAGCATGTACTTGGAAGGGGAGTTGTGATACTGCGCGGATGTTGTATAATGACCGAGTCTGTTCCCAGACTGCCGTATCGGATATGACGGGCTAGCGCGAACTGACTTTCTGGTGCGTTGGTAACGTTGGTGAGACTGAGACTGCTATGTAGCACGCGGCTTAGGTGTTCCGCTTGGACTCGATGTTGCTCCGTCTGTAAACAGTCCAAACCCTCAACCAGGTGTGGTACGGCATGCGGTCGGAAAGCTCCCTGAACTGTGTAGGTCTCGATACTGGACTTGGTGGAATCGGAGGAAGCAGCGGTCTTGCCAGAAGAGAGGCGTTCGTCGTCGGCGGTGTTGATTGTGCTGACTGCGTGTACTTGGGCGGGTTGGACGTCCCTCAGATGAGAAGTTCGACTTGAAAGGCTCATAGACCGAGAGCTAGAGCATGAGCTGATGGAACTGATGCGTTCTCGTCTGTTACGCCCGGCTAGCTGCCTAGCCCTGTCCTGTGAGGAACCGAACATGACGGCTGTGGAGGTAGCGCACGACTGAGCTGACCTGGCGAGTGGATGTGGCGTGTGTTTGGACGACTGCACCGAGGGAGGCTTGTCGGGGGCTTTGTTGTGGGCGAGAAAATGCCGCAGGAGAAGGCGTGCTAATGTGCCAGCGTTTCGGAGGCGACGAAGTAAGACCATTTTGGACTGCAGGAGTAGGAGCTTTACAATGGCGTTGTGTTCTTGGAAGTCACAGCTGCATGTGCCCGCAGACCGCAGCTGCTTTGAACTCGATCTGTCACCATGACTTGCAGCTTCTTGCGCGACTTGATCCCTCGTGCTTCCTTGTCCGTGACATGATACTATCACAGCTCCCAGAAGTATCGTGTTGCCCCTTCCCAGATATGTATCCGCAAGTATGTCCGTCTTGTGTTCGGGTGCCAGTCGGGTGGTTGGTCGGTCGGTCGCTGCGTCGATTGGAATGGATGACGGGATTCGTGCGTAGATATAACAAGCATGCAACAAATATGTACTGTATATATGAACAATAAAGAAAAAGCTGTACTTACGCGTTCACGGCGTTCTGTGCATCCCAGCCATGGCTTTTGAGTGCCCTGACCGCGGTGGACTTGTCAAGTTGAGTAAAGCTGATGAACTGCTGGATTGCAGCTTTCTGCTGAGCAGTGTATACTGTAGGCATACTGTATTAGCGCCTTGTATCGAACTCCAGCTATTGACTGCGAGCTCGATGTGAGGAAGCGGCGGGGTGGAGGGGTGGAGGGCGGGCGCAAGTCGGTGCGCAGAATTTGGTGATAGGGAATGAGTGCAGTGTTGAGAGACAAAGAATCGCGCAAAGTGAATTCACAGATTGGGTGCGCGTCTTGGTCGCCGAACCGTGGTGGACAATAGACAGAGTTGGCGATAGTTGGGCGAGCTGTGACGCACCGACGAGGCAGCAATTGTAGGGCCGACCCCGCCGAGTCGACTCAACCCTTGCTCGTGCACCCAAGCCCCGGAATTAAGGCCGCGGCAAGCTAGCCTTGCATCTTTCGAGCTTGACATGCATCGCCGCCAAACCAATGACGGATAATCTTGAATGAAATGAGGAAACTGTCGACTTACCTTCGGGGGCTGTCTTTGCTCCTTTTTTGGGAGCCTTTGTCTTCTTTTCTGGACGGTCCATAGCGGCGGCGTTGTCTGTGTTTTTGCGCTTGGGCGGCATGGAGGATGCGGAGTCGTCTTCTTGGGTACCGTCGAGGGAGTCGCGTGGACGTTGAGGCGATCCAGCGTGGTGTTGAGGACTGTGACTTGGGATGCTGGGGACAGGCGAACTTTGCTCTGGTCGACAAGGAAGCTCGTGCGTCTCCTTAATACCTGTGCGCTTGCTGCTACAGCAAAGAAACCGACGGAGCAGGTCGCAAAAGACCATCACCAGTCCGCTTGCTCTCACTGGTAAATATTGCTGACGTGCGCGGGGAGCTAGTGCCTTCCTAATACAGGCGCGGGCAAAATGCTCGCAGTGAATGTGCAATGCAGAAAATCTATGGTGACCTTTGGTTAAGGTGCGGGTCCAACCAAGTTCAGGAGTGCATGCGCAAAGGAAGCGCGACGAAGTGACATGGAGCAACATCGGTTTGTCGACCTACTAGTCGCGTCGCAAAAGTGACGCGGCATCATGTGTTCGCCGTCTGCCTAGGGCAAACATGCACTTCTCAACGGTAACTATGCACCTACCATCCCAACTTCCGCGATCAGATCCGGTACCAATTGTGCGATGTGTCCAAGGAAAATGCTGATCACGCACTAGAGGATACCTAGGTAGTAGAAGACAATATAGTAGAAGCCTACATCGCCTTAAAACTTGTTCCTGTTGAGGTTCATACTAAAGTAGACCGACTGCAGCGCACCAGCTTAGTCTCTTCTTTAATTATCTCTTAGTATACAGCCAGTGTTTGCGACTGCCTCCTACATGATCATCACGAACACCACACGCTGAGCTGCACCTGATAGTAATGGTTTCATGCCCATTGCCACGGGGGAACGCCAGACACATCTCTGATGCTCAATTCCAGGGTATACCTATGACAAACATCCAACGCCTATATCTTCACAATGTCAACACGCGTCCGTTCCCAGAGCTTGTGCGCGACTGCAACTCCTTTCTCCCTTTCTGCGTCACTGACGACAGCTGGTTGTATTATGACGCGGGCATATGTCCCTGCCGCGCGCCGTTTGGCTAAAGTGCCAGGGTTGACGACCAGTACAGACTCCACGACCTGGTCAGGGTTAGTATATCGCTCTCTAGTGGGCGAGCCATCTTAGCATACCTTGACTGTGCCTTGAAGCACGCTGGGAGTTATGAGTATGTCAGGCCGTACATTCAGCATTTCGCCCAATTTGAGATAGCTCGTGTCGAGCATGGTGCCCAACGGAAGAAATGGGCTGGGTAACTGTTCCTCCTCCAGCTCTTCACCCTCTTTCCGCTCACTGTTCCGTGCCTCATTCTTCATGACCTTCTCCTCAACTGGCGCGGGCATGAATTGCTGCTTTTCTCTTCCAGTTGGCGGGAAAATGGGCAAGAAACTCCGCTGCTCAAGGACGTTTCGAGCGCACCGTTCATAGATATTCGTACTTCGTGCCTTGCCGCCTGCCAGCTCTTCCCTACGTAGCATATCCAAGATATCGATTGACGACATGCCCACTGTCATTTCATTCATGCTGACAGTCATCGGGTTGGTCACACATTGGACCATCTTTCCTGCAGCGCCCAGGCCAAGCTCTTTCTTGATGAACTTATCCTGCGGAAACGCAGCATGGTGGTGATGCGCGTCTCGTAAGCTGGGGACCAGAAGAACATTACATGTGGGCACGCGTCTGTTAAAGCTTTGGATGGCGCTCGAGACGTGGTGTCTGAACAGATCAGTCATGGTAGCCTGATCTGCGCTTACATTTGGCGGAGCATCGAAGTCTCCTGACCGGATTTGAGGATGTTCTGCGTCGAGGAATGGGCCCACTAGGATGATAGAGTCCGCGTATGCTTCAGCAGCATTGTCAAGGAAGGTGTGTAATGGGGCAAAGTCGAGATTCTGGTCGGTCGTGTAAGGTCCGGACGCAATCATGATGGTGAGAGGTCGGACATTCTCCGGATCGGAATCGGGCGTGTCGAGATATCTCGCGTTGATGGCATCCAATTCTTCGGGTCTCGTAGCAGGCGGATTCAGCAGTGGAAGTGATAGGACTTCCGACGCTACGAATGAGTCACCCGAAGCGTTGGTACCACGCAGAGCAACAATCTGGCCGGGAAAGAAGTCATACGACGATAGCCCCTCTACGTTCAGCGGTACACGTCGGCCTGAGCCATGTCTTCGCGAGCCTTCAAGGACAAGTGATGCCGTGTTGAGTTTGCCTTCGCTTGTGTCGCTTGCAATTCTTCCGACTGCAATG